ATTCTATGATTCTATGATTCTATTCTCCTTCACATTGCTGGAGGGATATTACAAGAAAGTATTTAAGGATTCATGCCTACTGATCTTCAAATGGTTGGAAAAATCTTTCTCATACATGCATGCATATGTACAGCACATAGTACATGATTCCTTTACATCTGAGATTGAAAAAAGGATTTTAGACTGTGGACTGTCCTTTTTCAGATGCAACTATATGTGGAAGCTGCTGAAAATACTTTTTTATTTTTTTTTTTTTCCTTGAGTATTCAGATGAAACATGGTTGTATAATACCAGCCCTGTATAAGCCTGGTTCATTCTTAATTGTTAGAGCTGGGTGTATTTTGCCTGGGTGTATTTTGCCTGGGTGTATTTTGCCTGGGTATATTTTGTCTAGGAAGTTCCACAGGCAAATGTGAGAGGTTTATTATCTTTGACAGTGAAATAGTAAGGAGAAGCTGGAAGGACAGAGTAGGAATTCTCTTCTGCTGGCATGTTTGAATTCAAAGTTGACTGCCCTCAGTTTTGTTGTAAATACGCAATTGCAATTTTATGCATTATGTTCCTGAAAATTAGTGAGACATGAGAGCCAAGTAGTGGGTGAACTTAAATGTCAGACACATAGAACATCAAGGATATTTTTTGTTCAGTAAAATAGCCTGTGAAAAGAATGCTTAAGTGCTCTTTGCTTGGAAAGGACAGATATTTGGCAAATATTTCTGTTCTTGTAGAGAACTGTATGGTTACAAGGTCTTTTCTATTTTAAAACTTCAATCCTCTTTTCTCAATATAACTTTTTTGGGGCGAGGTTGACTTTCACTTCTGATCACTTGTGGAGGTATGTCCACATCCACATTCCAGCCAGTCATCATTTTTAGATAAACTTAACGTCACTGACTTTGATAAACCCATTACTCATATGTAATGAATTACATGCATGCAATGGATGCAGTCAGTATGTTGAGAGTGTCCCAGTGCAGTACATGTATGCACATGGGGTGTCAAAAGTAATCCAAGTGATGAGGTCATTTTTATGTAATGGCTATCTGAATGTCATAGATAACCCTTGTAAGATAAAAATATTTGTCATTAACTTTGTCTTAGTTGTCATTATGGCTTTCCTTTGAGAAGTGAGAACTTCTCTTATCCCTCTTGGTCTGAAGACAAATGCTTCCATCAACTCCTCCTACAGTTCTTAAATTGTTTTCAGTCATAAATTTTCATGTTGCTCGGTTGATGAAGGCTGCACTTTAAGTGGTGTTATCTGTTACTAAGGTACTACGACAATCTTTGGACAGACTGGGTCTAAGGAACATTGGCATCATCGCTGCGGATGGAGATTGGAACATTTCAATGGAGATGATAGTTGATCCCTATCTTAATGATGCTGTTGAGGTAGTCGGGTAAGTGTGGGAGAGGGAGGAGTTTTACACATTCCTTATTGCTTCATTTCTGTATGTAGTCTTCAATCTCCATTTTGAGAAGTCAGATATTTTTATTTCATGCTTCCTAGCCATTCCCAGTTTTTTCATCATCATGTACCGTGGTGACCGATTACTCTCTTCTGGCTTCCTCTCTTCTTTCAGTTTAGTACATGTGTAAGGTAACCTTACCACTCTTCCATCATTTTTTTGAAGTGTTCAGTTAGGAGCTATGTGTTAGGCTTCTTATCTTAGCACTAGCGAATGACAGGAGACTTCTAGCTAATCTGCACATGCATCTTTAAAGTCAGAAAGACCTTAGGACTGAATTCTTGGTCTGCAATCTGTTTTAATTTCAGGTGAACTTGGACTTTTACAATGGGACTTACCACCCTGGGACTTTCCATGCTTGCAGCATTCCCTGTTACATGTCCTTTGTTTGAGATTTTTCTGGCCACGTCCTAAAGCTAGGAGTTTCTGTTTGTTGCTTATATCTGTTAACAGATAAGTTAGAAGTTCACACACAGTAAAGTAGAAGTGAAAACAAGCATCCAAAGTTTGTTTTTTAAAACTAATACAACCATCTCAGTTTTAGCAGCTAGGAATGCCCACTGTTTGTAGTTCTAGCAAATGGCAACTTGGTTGTTTGCCTGCACTCTTGCTCCACAATATGCTTTCTTACTACCTTGTTTCTGTCAGCTGGCTTGGTACTTATTCTGCTGCTCTTGCTTTCTCAGTAATCTCTGATTTCTCAAAACTATAAATAGGTTTTTAAAAATTATAGCATGTACCCAGTGGAAATGACCTGTACGTGTATAAATTGTTCACTTGTGTTACATTTAACTTGCTTACCTCTGTTGTTAACCTTACTGTGATGAGAACATGGTTATGATCACTAGCGTACCATTTATCCTCATCTATATGTAAGGGGGAGTGATGTGCTCGTAATTGTTTAAAGTAATGCATGGTTCAAAGGTTATAGCAAGTCAGTTAAGCAGGGATTTTATAAAGAAACTGCTTTCATATGTGTTGAGCTTGTAGATGCTGATCACCTGGAAGTGACTGTCTAAGAAATACCAATTATATTGAGGAACTAATTTGGTTTAAAAACTTATAACCTTCTTAGGTTAGGCAAGACTTGCACCTCAACAAGTTACAGTGCATTATGAAATGTTTTAGTTATGATTTCCATGCCAGTGACACTTGCGGAATGAATGCACTGAGTGTGTGTGGTTCTTATTTCTTTGGGAACTTGACAGAATCAAGGCTAGAAGTACCTGTTTTTGTGTGTAGCCTTTAGGACCACGGACATGTTTTAGTTGTTCTTTAAGATGTAAGTTCTTTTTGTCAGAGGTTTTTTTTGAATGTCATATGAATTTTTCCCCAACTCCCCCACCACTGCTGAGCACAAAAAATGAAGAGTTAGCAGAATATTTCCTGTGCAATACTGTTGTTATCTGTCAAGAAATGAAGATTAGAGAAATGAGAACACCATGTTTCTCAGCCAATGCTGACTTTAAGGCACCAACTAGCAAACAGTTCTTGCTAACCTAGACAAAGATAAAAGTATTTAGGCATCTGACCTTCAAATGCTCAAGTTCAGAAAGTTGCTAAAAGTACACTGTATCTGTATGTCTCTTAGATAACTGTGTCTAGTTATTTGCAAAATCTGCTAGTCGATCTGGTCTCCTAAATAGTCTTAAATTGTTTTCTCAGAAATCCTTTCCTGTACATTGTTCTGTAATCTCTTTTCAAGTATAAGCCTCTCTGTGACTCTTTCTTAGTTCTTCTACTTTGGAATAGAAACCTGGGATTAAATTTATATTGTTTCCTTTAGAAATTATCAAGATAATTGAAATGATTGCTTTGGCATCCATCCACAAAAAGTAACTGACCTTTCCCTTTCTTTGTGTTTCCTTTCATTTTCTTTTTTCCTTTCCTTTCTTTTTCACATCAGGTAATTTTTACCTTGATACCATTGCTCCCCATGGAGCTTTATCCCTGTTTGAAGCATATCTAAGCTAGATTTAAGGTAAAGTTTCTATGTCTGTTTTTTCCCCCTGCATATTTGCTGTCTACTGGCTTGTGATTTGAAAGATTAAGGACTTCACATTTTCTTAGAATGAAGGCTGCCAAGCTGTTATTCAGTGTGCTTCAGTGTCATTGGTTGAAGGAGTGGCCTTCCTGAACACACTGCTTGCCATCATTTCATACTAATGAGTTGCAGCACTTGCCATTGAAAACAGGAATTTTGTTAGAAGAAGAAAAGAAAAAAGCCCTTATCTGCTACTAAATCAAATTACTTACAAAATTGTAATATAGTTAGCTGTGTTATGTTTTGCTTCCTTATTTTGATTGCAAGACCATCTTCCCTACTGTCTTTCTATGTTATTTTGATAGGTGCTATTTCTGTGTTTGTATGGTATATATTCATATTACCTTTCTCCTGGTATGTATTATGGCTCAGTACTACATCTTCTCTGATAGATGTGGATTTTGTTTGCTGTGTTTAACAAAGCCTATAGAGGCCATAGCTCTATTTGGCAAGTCCTTTCTTAAAGGCCTATATGCCAGTACACAATTAGACTTGAATATATTCCACAATATTTTTTTTCTGATGTTTATCTAGAAATGGACAAATTGAAATTTTTTTCCATAGTTCTCAATTATTTAAGTTATCTTTGACTTGTAAGTCATTATTAGTGGACAGTAATTGTATTTTGGGTGGTGGAAAAAAAACCTGCCTTCATCAGTTTTTATTTACCAGACAGAACAAATCATATTTTATTTCTAGTAGATGTAGCATGAGTCTTTTATAATACAGTGATCAAATAGCAGAAATGATTGCTACCATTTCAGTTGCTCTTATTTTTCTGTCTCCTAGTGTCTGTCATTTAAAAAAAAAAAAAAAATCGTGGTAAGTCTTAATGAACAAAGAAGATGGGTGATGTGTTGAAGAGCTATTTGTCAACGACTGTGGTTTTGTGTAAGGGGTTCTTATTCTGTTGATTTTTCATATAGTTGCAACTTTAGAGGAATCATTAGTCTTATGATCCAGGAATACTTTCTTAGTTCAATAGGAAGAACAAGTTCAGTTCACTGATATTTGATGTCTCTGAGGGAGAAAACATTTGCTGTTAGAGAGAAAATGAATTAACTATGCTAAGTTGGTGGAAGAATAAAGATTAATTATAGAAAATACTGTCTTCTGGGTTTATTTTATACTTTTGGACCATGCTGCTTACGCCATTGTTTTAAACAGGATTTTTGTATTACATGGTTCAAAGCACAAGCTAGAAACTTACTTTTGGATTTATGTAACTGATCCTAAGACATAATGTTTGTCTCAATTTGAAACAATAGATTTTACTGATAGGATAGCCTTGTCTTTTTTTTTTTTTTTTTAAATGTCTTGTGTCTGGGGTTCTTATCTGTAATTAGATAGAATTATTGACTAACTTGGTTTGTACAGGACTTCTGGACATCATCTAGTCGAACCCCACTGCATCAAGCAGGTGCAGCTGGGTCATGGTGCTGAGGCTTCTTCGGCTTTAATATCTTCACAACCCCTTTGGGCAACTTATTCCACATGTTTGACCATACTCATGTGTTTGAGGCTTTTTTTGCCTTTTTTTTTTTTTTCCCCCTTTTAAGTTCTTATACCTAACTGAATTTTTCATCAGTCCACAGTCTGTACTGTTGCAAGGGGTTATTCTGTCCCAGATGTAGGACTTCATGTTTGCATCTGTTGAACTTGGCGAGGTTCCTGTCAGCCTGTTTTTTCCAGTCTGTTAGTTCCCTAGTAAATAACAGCCCTCCTTTTCAGCAGATAAGTGGTGTTATGGGTTAACCCCGGTACTCAGCTCAGCCCCGCACAGCCACTTGTTCACTCCTGCAATGGGATGGGGGGAGAATCAGAACGGTGAAAGTGAGAAAACTTGTGGGTTGAGATAAAAACAGTTTAATAGGCAAAGCAAAAACTGCGTGTGCAAGCAAAGCGAAATGTGGACTTTCTAAGTTTTATTAAAGACATCAAACAGTATTGGCACTAACAGCAGCCTGTGAGGACATCGCTAGCAATCTGCACCCTGGTTGGACTTTTCTGTCCACCTTGGTGGGAGACTGTGCTAAAGTCAAGGTATATGACATCCACTGATTTTTGCCTTGCCCGAACAGGTAGTCATCTTGTCGTAGAAAGCAGTTGTGTTTGTCAGGCATGATTTGCCCTTGGTAAATCCATGCTGCTGTTCTCAGTCATCCTCCTATCCTTCTTGTGCTTGGAAATCGCTTCCAGGAACACTTGCTCTGTAACCTTCCTGATGACTGGGGCTAGATTGATGGGCTTGTAGTTTCTCAGATCCTCCTTCTTGAAGATGCGCATTAAAACTATTTTTCCCTAGTTATCAGGAACCTCCCCTAATTGCTAAATACGTTAGCTTTTGTGTGTATGTTAAGTCTGAAAACTGCCTTATTCTAATGGGACATGTAACAGGAAAATACAATGCAGAAGTAATAGTAACATGGTGTTCAGATAAAGGTCTTAAGACTTTGGGGCAGGAAATCCTGACGTTTCAGGCTACTGGCAGACTGCACATAAGCTAGTTCAGATTCTGATCTGTGGAAAAAAAAAATAATCTTGCAGCACTGTTTCCTGCAAGTAGTGTTCTGTGTTAGAAAAGATTATATATAGTAGAAATATACAGAATGATTTGAAGGTAGTTAACATTTGATGTTACCTGAATTTGAAAGTAGAACAAACCCTGTTTAGGGAACGTCTAGTCTTCAAGAAACTGCATAGTTAGACTCGGTCTTATGTGACATTTTAGATTTGTTTCATTGAATTTCAAGGCCTTAAAATGTCTCTAGGGAAGTGTACAGTGGTTGTAGTTTTAAAACTTGAACTAAAACACAGTTGAGTAATAAGATGTGTATGTGTCTGAGGTTCTCGTTTCTTGTGTTGGTTGTGTTTAGGAAGAGCTGAT